ATTTTTCTTCCATTCTTTGCTAGGAACTCTTGTTGGGAAATGTCACCACTTGTACACTTGGACCCAGCTCCTCCGTTAGTTAAAACTGTACCATTCTTGGAAGTGTGGAAGTTAGGATTCGTCCAGGTCGTTCTGCCAGATTTTAGGTAATGACTCTCCTCATGAGATGCTGAATGGGTCTGCCTAGTTTGTTGGGGTGATTCACTGTGCATGAACTTGCATGGATCCCGATTGCATTTCCGAGAAAGCCAGTAGACGTAGACTTTGTTTTTTAACAAATCCTCCTTCAAGTCGATTGAAGACAGAGACTCTCCTTGCAGCCTTAACCTTCATTATAATACTGCACACAACAAATCACGGGTTAATCAAAGCACGGCCAAACTTGCCTTCATTCAAACTATAATCTCTTTCTTTGCCAAGATAGGAAATCCAAATGCAAAATTACAATTCGGTATATCCATCAAATTCTAATTTCTGATCTCCAGTTATTTTTCCTCTATAGCAAGCCACAACGGAGTAAGTATCCAAATGTGCAAACACTGAGCTCTAAAATCCAACCACTTGGATACCATATGTGGCTGTCTCAACCAGTATCTCAGATTCTACTAACGAACACTAGATAAAATGCTTCCAGCAGAAGAAATAACATATAAAAACCTGTAAATTCGAATCATAAAATAAAGGGGAAGCAATAATCAAACTTCACTTTTGAAACCGTAAAAATCCACCAAGGAAAATCAGAAGAATTCGATCCAGTCATTGGGAAAAAGGGACCGGCTTAGCGTCGAAGACCCATCAATGGTGGTGGGTGAATCGATAGATAGATTGCAAAACAACAAAATCGAAAACGCTAAATTCGTAGATACATAACAGAAATCCAGAATTAAATGTGAAATAGCAAACCTGATCGATCCAATGAAATCAACAAATGTGAAATATATTTCTTATGTATGTAGAGAATCAAGTCAATGAAACAGAATTAAAGGCTGCAGGTCATAACCAAAATCACAGCAACAGATTTGGTGCAGAACTAAAGGCTGAATTAAAGGTTGAAGATATGGAAGGTGGTGAACTCTTAACATCAAATCAGGAGCCTAACAAATGAGGAAGATTTGATCCCATGTTTATGCTATAAGATTTTATAGCTGTAATCTGTTAATTGTAATTACTCACGCTAATGTAGGCATCCAGTGTAAATGCTCCTTCATATATAGCTGTNGCTGTAATCTGTTAATTGTAATTACTCACGCTAATGTAGGCATCCAGTGTAAATGCTCCTCTATACATAGCTGTACGGATTATGGCATATTCAAGGAAAAATAGAGGAATTAATTCTTTTACATGGAATCAGTATAGCCATCAAAGACCAACGTCTAAATGTCTTCCTCCAATCCTGAAACTCAATCTCCCTTCATTGTCTCCATACCTAATATTTCTACTATCAAACTAAGCCAAGATAATTATCTACTTTGGAAAGCCCAGATGGTTCCATATTTTCGAGGTCAGGATCTCTTTGGTTATCTGGACGGAACCACAGTAGAACCACCAAAAATAATTTTCGTGTCCCACCCTGAAACCAATGTTGATTCTGAGACACTCAATCCTGCTTACTCTCAATGGGACAAGCAGGACAACCTCATCCTTAGCACTCTCATGTCCTCTCTTACCGAAGGAGTGCTTGCTTAGGTTGTTAATTATGCAACCTGCCATGCTGTCTGGCGTGCATTAGATGAAACTTTCTCCTCAAAATCTCGTGCGCGTATTGTTCAGATCCGTACTCAACTGGCTACTGCAACTAAAGGCAGTAAATCTGCCACAGAATATTTCCACTTCATTAAGAAGCTAGCGGATGAGCTAGCGATCGCAGGGCAGCCAATGACACAAGATGATACTATCACCTATATTCTTGCAGGTCTTGGCCATGAATATGACGGTTTCATGGCTTCAATTTCCGCTCGCACAGATAGTGTGTCGCTCAAGGAAATTTATTCTCTCTTATTAACCACAGAAGCACGTCTTTCTCGATACCAACTCACTCCAGCAATTCAACAACCTTCTGCTAACATTGCTCAACGCCATTCACAACCATTTGCACGGAATGGCCGTGGTGGCTCTCGAGGAAGGGGGTGAGGCAATCATAGTGGCTTTACCTTTGCTAACCGAAACGCTGATCAGCCCTGTATTATTTGTCAACTTTGTGGTAAGCCTGGACACTCAGCTCGTAAATTTTATCACTGACTTGACTTCTTTTATCAGGATACTCCAAAAGATATGCCCAAGCAAGCTATGGTTGCCGTGAATAATGGCAATCCTACCAATTGGGAGATCGATTGGCATGCAGATACGGGTGCAACCCATCATCTCACAAATGATGCTTCCAATCTGAACCAACAGAACAACGAATATAAGGGCTTAGATACCGTTTAAGTGGGAAATGGTCAAGGTTTGCATATCTCTAAAACTGGTTCTTCTAAATTCAACACTACCTCATCCACTTTTGTTCTTAATCAAGTTCTTTTAGTTCTTGAGATTCAAAAGAATTTGATATTTGTTCAACAATTTTGCATTGACAATAACGTCTATTTTGAATTTCACCCTCACTTCTTTCTTGTGAAGGATTACTTGGGGAAGGTCCTTCATCAAGGCCATCTCAGTGATGGCCTCTACAAGTTCACCACCAAGACGAGCCTACCTCAAGCACACTCCAGTGTTCGAGTCTCATTTAATAATTGGCATCGTAGACTTGGTCATGTCTCTAGTCCAGTCGTCCACAAAGTTATCTCCACTTTAAACTTTCCAGTAGAGAAAAATAAATTGTACACTGTGTGCCCTGATTGTCAAACGGCTAAAAGCCATAATTTGCCTTTTCAGCTATCTACATTTGTTTCTTCAAA